CCGGCTCCCCAGGAAACACTTGTAAGAATGAGACAGTGTTTTGGGTTTCATGTATGTTGGAAAAAAAAAAAAAAAAAAAAGAATGAGACAGTGCAGCTCAGGCCTCAGTCACCGCTCAATGCCAGTTCAGAGCTGTGCAAAGCCTTGGGTGTGCAGGGCAGCGCTCTCTGCAAAGCTGTTTCAGATCGCTCAGGAGAGTTGCTGGTGGCCCTGGGTAAATCATTCTCATTTATGTGCCCCACAGAGAACACAAGTCAGCAACCGAGGCACGTGAAAGCACTTGTGGGGGATGGATGGAAGCATTAGGGTGCATTTTGTCAATGCATGCCATTAGAGAAAACCCATCTGTAGAGCAAATCAGGAGAACAAGTCAGCTAGGAGACACCCTGGCAATCACTGCTGGCCTTTTGGTCTCTCTCCTCTTGGAAGAACGTAGAACTCACACTGCACTATGCTACACTTCTGTATCCAGTCGTCTGTCTGAGGGTTAGACCCACTCGAGTTTCCCTGGAACTACGGGCACTCACGTAGCCAGAGGAGCCTGCTTCGCAGAACCCATTTTCTTTTATGGGTGTCTGGAGTCATTATTTAAATCTCTTGTGGGTGTTGCCCTTCACGGATCAGTATCTTGCTTTCTCTACCCAGGTGTAAAGCCCTTTCCTTGCAAGTACTGGGTCTTACACTTCATGTAGCACCTGCTTTATGGTCTTGGGTGAATATTTGGTTGATTACATTCAGGCAATAAAATTTTGCCTATTTTTCTTGTATACTTAGTTGCTTTTCTTTTTTCTTTTTTGCCAGACATGGAATCAATTTGTTAAGAAATCATTGCTGCAGACCTGGATGCTGGGGCTGGGGGTGGAAGGCACGATGGAGCTCACAGCAGATGCAACTGTCAAGAGTATGACAAGGAGAAAGTTCCTGTGGGAAATGAATCATGAGCTCCGGTAAGAACAAGGCCATAGTCACCTGAGCATTGGAGCTGCCTTGTGAAAGGGCCAAAGTGACCAAGCAGAGAAGTGGCAGCAGTAGCTGCTATTTCAGGGGCTTCTGCTGAAAAGCTCAACCTATTTCCAAGGTCGTCTGTCAGGTCAAGGCTAGAAAGTCACAGGCCCTTTCTGGGGTAAGTAGGCTTTGGGAGAGAGACCATCAAGTCTTGAGCATGGTAACCATGGCTCTGTGCGGATCCCACCTTTCTGCTGGGTACTTTTAGTATGACTGTGGCCGCTTCCTAATGGGGTCCTTTTCTCTCTTTCACCATTACCGGATACAGGTAATGCTCTCGGGTAGGAAAAAGCCTTTTTACCTCAAGTTGTGTCTTGGAAGGCATCCCTAATTCGGGATGAGGTGAGCCCACCACCAATGTTCAGTCAGGTAACCTAAAGAGAGCCAAGAGTCTAGACAGCTCAGATTCTATCCATTTGTAGGAATCAGCTTTCTTTTCTGAAGGGCAGTGCCCATCAGAAAGTAAGCTACATGCTCATTTTTGGCTTTTGTATCAACATTTTTTGCTTTAAGGAATTATGACTGACAGCATAATAAAACCCTCCACCCAAAGTCCCAGTGGGAGGCGCATGATCAGTCTGAGGAATCCCTGTGAGATAGGAATTATCCTCAGCACCCGGGATGGACTCTGAGAAGTAACACAGCATTGTCTATGCAGTGTGCCCCACTGCAATGGCAGGGGATCTGTCTAACACCCCACATCTCCCAGACGTGACACACACGGTGACAGCAAGAGGTAGGACAAAGAAGCAGAGCAGGTGGGTGCGGTGCACTATCTGCCTACAGGAGGAGGAAGTGGGTGCCCACCTGTCATTGTAGGTGGACTGGCCAAAGGGAGAGATGTGGACTCTTAGGGGACCCACTGGGTCTGGCTCTGAGATGGTTCTCAAGCCTTTTGCTTTCTTCCTCGCAGGCTGGTGCCTTGTTCTCTACTACAAAATCCCATTATGTCTAGTCCTCCACTGACTTCCTTTCCTTGACTGTGCTGAATGTCCAGCTGAAACAGTTCGTGCATGGATGTAAAGAATGCAGATGCCACTGCAGGGCTGTCTCTGATTTGTGCATGACCACAGGGATGCCATAGACCTCTCTGAAGCTCTCTGGCTATTTCTTGGGGCACTGCAAAAAATGGGGGGTTTTCCGGGGAGCTCTGGGGGAAATGTATTTTTTTCTATTGCACAAAAAGGCAGGCTAGGGAAGAGATGTGGAAGAGGATGTTTTGAGAAGGGAGGGGAGATAGTTGTAAGCTTCAGGAGAGACAGCTGACTGCACTCCATGATTCTGCTGTTTAATTACAAGCACAGAGGAAAGCGGCCTTGAGCTGAGAGGCTGGTTTCCTGACTGGGGCCTGGATCCTTACAGCGGCAATCAAGAGGCCCAGTTTCCATTTCTCACCCCCTCTGTATCCCATCCCTTCCCACCTTGGACCTTTTGCTTCTGTTTAATGATGAAGCAAAACACACTTTAGAACTTTTAGAAAAGTGGGAATAATCCCTAAAAAGACACTGGGGAATAAAATTACATCCACGACTCCTCCAAAGCTGCACTGCCATGCTGGGTAAGGTGGGGGCATCATCTGGGGGCACATGCCATATTTTCTGTGCAATCCACAAACCCTGAGTCCTCGGCTCCTGTTTCTGCCTCCCCACATCCTGGGTCACCATGTTTATCTACTCGGGGGATGAACGCACCGTCAGACTACCAGTGACTTCCTCGTGAAGGGATTTCAGCTGTGCTCCAGTGTCCTTTCTAGACAAAAGGAGATTATGGGAGAATATCAGGGAGAGTGCACTGATCCAGCTAGAAGAAGGTGGTGAAATGGAGCTGGGGGCATGTGGGGTTGGAGATCCCTAGGGGGACATCAGACTCAGGGGGACCCTTTTAAGCAACCAGAAAGAGCAGCACGCCTTCCCACTGGGAGATTAAAGGGGTTTTGCAAGCACAGCACTCAGACAGGGAAGTCAGGCTCCTATGTTTGCCTCTGCTCCATCCCCTTGAGTTCCCCATTTCCTAGGGAGGGAGGTGTGTTATGTTCCAAGGGCACACACCTACCTGAGAGCTGATACCCACATCACTTGGTGCTCTTCAAATAGGAGTCAGAAAGACAAAATCCTACAGGGGACTCTCAGGACAGCAGGGGTGACCTCAACAAGGAAACCTACGGGTGGTGCTATTTGCCAGACATAGGGCGGTGGTCTCCACTCCTGAACTCCTGGAACACAACTTCCTCCTTGCCACGAGCTCCCAGAATGCAGCTCTGCATCATCGCTGTCTCACGGAGAAGCTGACTACGTAGGGCCACACTTGCAGCTGGTCTGCAGTGGGCCAGGGTGTGGGTGGCCCTCAGGGCTCAGGTCTCTGCGCTGTGCTGACCCCAGGCAGACAGAAAGTGGTCTAGCGGGATGTTGTCACAAAGCCATGTGACAGGCCATAGTCGTTTCCTATCAGCACGTGGAAGGCAGTAAGCTGTCCAGTACAAAAGCTTAGTGATGGGAAGGGCGTGATCTATGGGGCCAGACAGACCTGGCTTGGAACCTCCTATGTTCCTAGGGGAAGCGATTCAGTGTGAGATGCGAGCTACTTCCCTCTATATAAGAGGGACTCCTGTGTCCTCCCTGGACTTTGTCATGGTTGGGGATGACAACAATACATGCTCAGCACAGTGCCTGGTGACAGAAGGAAAGAATGCCTGATTTCTGAGAGCTCTTTGGAGTATTCCCTTGTTAGAAGATCCAGTGAGCCAGCACTGGGCTTTGGAACGGTCCTTACAGGTCCCGTGGAAGCTGTTCATGTGAAGGGAGAGGCGGCCAGGCTAGCCACAGGCATCTCTGTCCCTGAGCCCATCCTCCCACTGCATTCTGCAGACCCAGCTGCCTCTCACCTGGACAGAGCAGAAAGCAGGTGTAGAAAGTGCTGAGCTTCATCAGCTTATGTTCAGCCGAGCTCGTGGGGGCTGTGTACACAGGGCATTGTGATCGTCCCCCTCTCCAGAAGCCTTGCTTTCCTGGTCCAAGCACCTCCTGGTGATCCCCAGGTGCTACTCCCTCCAGGAGTCTGTCTCCATTTTGCCGCGTGGACCCTGGACAAGGCTGAGTGCCAAGGAGGGGCCAACTCCTCCCCAGACTTCTTCAGGTTACCCGGGCCACCACAGTCACAGCCTCTTCCTGCTGGAGAGCCCAGAGTCCACTCAGTGAGCTCTGCCCAAGTGCCTGCCCCAGGCTTGGTGGCACCCAAGTCTCTCCTGAAACCCCAACATCCATGACAGACCAGGATCCACTCCGTGACTGTGAGGTGGAACTTGGGCCTCTAATAAGGTCTAGTTGGCACCGAAATCACAGGTCCTCTTAGGAATGGCACTCCAGGATTCCCAGCAGGGAGGAAGGTAGGAGGAACCATCCAGAGAGAGCCCAAGGGACTACAGAGAGGATTCAGGATGGCAGGGCTTTTCCACAGTGGTTCTTCCAGAGAGAATAAAAGACATACACAAGTGTTCCACTCCACTTGCTTGGGCATTTTACTGGTAGTCATCATTTAAAAAAAAAAACAAACTCAAACCCAAAAACGAGAAAACAGCAAGGGAGAATAGCGGTGGAAACATCTGGTGGTTCCATCAGGAGAGGCTCAGGTTGCTCTCAGGTACACTGTGGTCCATGGCTTCTGCTGTCTACCGCAAGGAGACTCAGCACAGCACCCACCACCTTGGCTATGCATTCTGCTCCTTGGATATCACAGTGGCCCAAGCGATCCCGTACCCTCTGCAGTTTCAGGCAAGGTGGTGACAGTGTGATGGGCAGGAAGGGCACAGGGAAGGCCTGGGCCCTCTGCCTGCCAGCCTGTGAGGGCTAGCTAAAAACATTTACTGGGAGTTTCTGAAGAAGTCACTCTTGCTGCTTCTTCTGAAAGGGCTCACCAGCGTCACAAAGGAACAAACCTCCTCCCTTCCCTGGGACAAAGCTACCCCTCCTCCAGCCAGCCCACCTTCCAAACAGCACAGATTTAAAAATCTTGCAATTTTATTTGCATATAAAGGCCGCTAGATATAGAATATCACAATAAATTTAGAGAAACAACTGCTTTCCTAAATTTCAAGATAACATAAAATAGAATAAAGCCCCAACGACATTTACAATGGGAAAACAGAAATGACTATTAGCGACAATATTCTGTGCTAGCGAGGATTGCATTGACACACAGTGCAAACTGGGAGGGGAAGGGAGGTAAGAGGACAATCGGGGTCTTTAAATAGAAAGGACAACTAAGCCTTATTCTGTTAGCTTCCATGGCATCCATTTACGTCTATACACGCTCGTCACTGTACCTAGGTCGAACTCCGGCTCTTTCAGAGCTTGAGTTCTTCGGAGAAAACATAGCAGTTCTTCGGGACTTCGATGCGCTTCTATATAGCACCCCCCTGGACTGCTCTTGGCAATATTAAACTCCTAACTTAGTCATAATACACAAAAAATACTTATATATACACACCCATGTTGAACAGGAGTCTGCACGCTCATTGTTTTAAAAACTGCATGAAATATTTGCTCTGGACAGATTCCGTCTCCATATTTTTTTAAAGCTAAATAATTTAAAAACAACACATAGACAAGGAGACCTTGCGGGACCACAATGTGGAGCTCATGAGCCTCGCCATCCTGGGGGGCAAGCTGTCGTCTTGGGGCGACACAGTCTTTCCCAGAGCCAAGGCATGGGACAAGCTTCCCGTGCCTGCTTCTGTCATGAAGGTCGCCCTACACTGGAGCCGTTACTGCAAAAAGGGGGATCACCAGGAAAACAACAACAACAACAGTAACAACAACACATTAAAAAATAAAATACTTCAAACAACACTCTTAACAGTTGTGCAAATCTGTGTGGTTTTTAAAACACTGCCTACCTCTTCTTTTTTTTTTTTTTTTTTTTTTTTTTCCTTTTTCTTCCAGCTTAAAGCATACTAAAATAAGGCTTTTATCACCTTTTTAAAAGAAAGCTTGGCTGTCCTTTGGCGAACACTAACAATTTACAATGGCGTGGCCTTGGAGGAAACAGAAGTCAATTTACAAATTTACAGTGCTCCTCTGGTTTCAAATGGATCCTCATTAAAAAAAAAAAAAAAAAAAGAAACAAGAAAACAAAAAGGAGGAAAAAAAGCACAACCTCTAGCATCATTTTGTGTGTTTGTTTGTTCCGACAGTTTACAAAAAGAACTCACAGGATTCGGAAATAAACAAGTAAGAGAATGTCAGTTGATAAGGAGAAACGTGGTAGTCTGTAGAGCTTCTTCCGGGCGCGCTGGGCGTCTTCCGGGGCTCAGGAGCCCTGCGGGTTGGGGAGGTCGAAGATAATGGGTGGGTTGGTGGGTTGGAAGCTGACGGTACATGTGGAAGCGTTGATGTAGGTCGTGTAGCCATCAGTCATGATGCCATAACCTGCGGAGACAGGGGCACCGGAGCTGTCAGGGTGACAGAGTAGAGCGAAAGTGGGGTACAGCGCAGTGCCTGGTGGGAAAGTGGGGCTCCACAGCCCACACCCCAAGATCCCACCCCTCTCAGGAGCTGCCACATGGCTTTATTCTCTTTCTGTGAAAGGCAGAATTCTCACGCCAATGAAGAGTGCTTCTCTCTTCTTATTTACACTCTAACCTCATCAGGGTAAAGGCTGGGATTTCTTGGCTGGGAAGAGTAAAGATACATTTCCCCCTCTTTTTCTTTGGTGGAAGCTTCCTTTCAAAGCCTTGTGCTAACTGCTGAGTTCCAGGGCTGGAAAAGCAACTGCTTGGGGACAACCACAACTGAACTTGGAAAGAGCGTAGGGCAGGGGTGAAGCAAAACCTCAGGACAGGGCGGCCCTGGGATGGGCTAAGGAAGGTGCTGGGCGCTGGGTCTCCCTGCACAGGAAATCAGTTCCAAACCAGCTGCAGGAAAGTCAGGCAGGCACCAGTGAACTTTCGATTTCAAGGCTTGTGTGCTGAGGTATGTGTTATCCAAAAGCACAGAGGTGTGTGTAATCCAAAAGCACAGAGCTACCAACTGTCTGAGTGATGGCAGGAGCAGCAGAGAGGGCCCGGATTCCTTCGCTTGCCTGGATACTGGTGATGCTACAACATCTCCCACAGGCAGCGTAGGGGGCTTGTAACCCACTGGGGGAAGCTGAGGAAGCTTCCCTGGGTCTCTGGGCTCCTTCTGCCATTTGTAATATGCTCAGATGTGTAGAATTCTGGGAACTTTGCACATTGTCCTGGGTACCTATTTGTTCAGCCTTGTGTCTCAGTTTGTAAGCCTCCTTTGGGATCAGCTCTTACACCACATAAAAATAGAGCCACAAAGAAATAAAATAACCACGACTTATAGAAACACTGATAAGGTTTTTTTTTTTTTCATTTGCTAAAATTTCTCCACGTAAGCCTGTGGAGAGCTTAATGAGGGTCAATGGAAAAATCTCTTAAGAAATGAAAAGAGGCATTTAAAATGCGCTCGGTTTAGTTCTGGGTTCATAAAGTCTCGTTATCTCTCTCCATCAAGAGGCTGGTATTTGCCCTCTCGCTGCCCTCTTCAGCTGTCTTAAGTGAATAAAAGCAAGACAAGTTTATTTGAATATGATCTCCTCCCTTTTAGCAAGTTTATTATTTTGGTGCTCCGGTGGAATTTCCCAATCGCCTGGCTAGTTGAAAGCTAATTGATGATTCAATTTTTTTAAAGGTGAAATGCAAAACTCTAAGAAGGGCTGCAGGAATTCAAACCACTTTTCAAGATAATGGGCCCCAGAAATCCTGTTCAGATACAAAGTCCCACGTCTGCACCCCCGGCTCCATATCTTACCACACCTCACCAGGACAAGGGAAGTCCCCTCCCTCATAGCCCCTAGCCAGAGCTGGAGCAGGGGACAGCTTCCAGGTCACTGGCTACCCCTGGCTGCCCCCGGAGCAAGCTGACTTTCCTCTGGCCTTGGTGGGCAGATTTCAGTGTGCTCTTCATTACCCAGCTACCCAGGAAGCCGCTGGATTTGTGGGCTCTGAGCGTAGATTACATTTCGGCTTCATCATACACGGAACCACACACACCTCAACCTGACTGCGGATTCATAGCCAGCTCCAGGAAGCAGCCCTCAGTGGTCGCCAGGCAGACAGGGCGCTGCCTGCCAGAGCACACCCATCGCCCACAGCAGGTTCAGCTAGCGAAGGCCAGCAGCTCAGCAGACCCCAAGCTTGCATAATGAGGAGTCTGTGTCTGCTTTTAAAAGGCAGAGAAAAACCCAGAGCTCTGAAGCTTCCTGTGACCCTGACTTGATTTATCTGGAGTGGCAGAACAGACACTGGGTCAACTCCTGTGTAAAGGAGATTTAATTATTCCGTTTAACCTTAGAATGAGCGCGTGCCGATGATTTCTGAGAAGTCTGCCGTGGTTTCCTGAGGTTGTGAGGAAACACCTACTTGCGAGTGCCCTTCCCCGTCCACTAGTCTGCTGCACATCGAATTGCAGGACTTCCAGGGGTATTTTCAGAGAACATCTTGTCTTCCTAGGTCTGCACATGCTCCATATGGAACATAATATTTATAGGTAGGAAGGGACCTTCGAGGATTTAAGTAGCTTCTAATGTCTGGGGTATTTTTTTTAACTCCATCAAAGTGAACATCTGTCCTTATGCACCTCGGGGCTGCCCTCTAACAGCAATTAGCACATATTTTTCATGAGAGTTTGAGATTCCAGAAGGAGCCCGGGAAGTCTGGGGTCTGCAGAGGTGGGCTGGGCCTGCCTCCTGCTCAGATTAAAGGAGAGCACTGTACAATATCAGCTGTAAACACTGCGTTTTCTTTTAAGATCTCATCTCCTGAAAGGGTTTCACTGATAACCAAGTGTGAGACCGGTCCATTCCCAGCCTGCTAAGGTCTCCCCTCATGGAAGGGGATCACGGGCCACCCCAGCACACATGGCCCATTCCTTCCTTCTGTTCTTACCTTCATGAATCCCACCGAACACGTGCAGCTTGGGCCGGACCCGCCTTTGCACAGTGTTGAGCAGCTCCACGCAGCCCACTCTCTGGAGCTCCTTGGGTACCCAGTCCCGGAAACCTAAGGGCAGAGTGCAATGCACAGCCTTCATTCCTGCCCTCAGGGGGGCTTTCTTGCCACCACCTAGCAGCAAGCCATGACTCATGGAGGGTTTGTGACATGATCTGTGGGCCCAGCCTTATGAGTAAGGGGCTCAATCAATGCTTTTAGGAAACTTTTCACGCGTCACTTTGTCTCCTGCAGACTCTTGAATTATTTTTTCTTTTGGTTTTCATTTTTTCCCCCTTCCAGTTAATTAACATTTTTTTCTGTAAGGACTTTGATTTATTCAACCATGGCTTTCAAATCTTCTCCACGGACTCAATGACACATACAGTATTCCTGGCAGCCCTGTCATAACTCCTGCTCCCCCAAGCCACTCACTTTCTCTCCTTAGGAGACCTTTCCTGCAGTTTCTCATAGCAGTGTGCTTCAGAGGAGCCCAGGTGAGGCTCTCTGTGCCCTGGCCATGGCGCACGGCACTCTCCGTAGAGACACCAGCTCCTCAGCCCTGGAGTTCCCAAAGCCCAACTCTCTGCATGGAAGGTGCTTCCCTATCCGCCCTCCAATAATAAGCAACAATATGACCTCATGGTGGCATCCAGTGAGCTGGAGCTAATTGACTACTTTTAAAGTAGAAGCCACTTAGTATTACGCTTAATGCAGAGAATCCATAAAAACTGACATCCGTTAGAGACAGAGTCAGCTCTCTAGATGATTACGGTCTGCAGTGAAATCCATACACCTCAGTCCCTGGGCTAAGGGTGCAGGTGGGAGGAAAAGCCAGCTCATCACCCTCTCTGGGGTTCGGTCCACACTGCTCTGCTGTTCAGGAGTGGCTGGGCAGAAACAAACAGGGCTCTGATTTGCTTGGCCAGCTGCAGATGTGAAGATTTAGTGTCTCCATAAGGACACTGGCCAGGGTCCTGGGAAAGACCAGAGAGGCTGCGGGGAACTCTGGATGAAAGGGAGGTCCCAGAAAAAATTAAACCAGGTCATCAGCACTTCTTCATAGAGGAGAGGGATCCCCGGATCCACATTGATTGATGTGTTGCCTTATAGACAGATGTGTTTTGCTGAAAGTGAGAAGATACTCCACTTCATACTATGCACCGAGAAAGTATTTTGGCAGAACCTTAAAGGTAAAGTCCCACAGCACTGGGGCTTCACCCAGAATGGGGTACACTCAAGGCCAGCCCCCTGCCCTCTTCCCCTCTAGAGCTCTTTCACCAGAGTGTGCATGAAGGCTCAACTGTACCCTGAACTTTGCCCAATGTCCCCTGTGGGGACTGCTGGTTACAGACCTCACTCTGACATGCAGGCTTGGTCCACTCCATGGCTTCCGAAAGGATGCTAGCCTTCCTGGAAAGAGACCCTGGGATGCTGGAATTCTTCAGCATCTAGTGTCTAGATTATCACTGTCGCTTGCTTGCTTAGGTACCAACATGAATGACTTTGTAAAATTCGCTAATTTAGCGTCCTTTTCAAAATTAGGCTGCAAATCACACCCCGGTCATGCACAGGGACTTACACCAAAGGCATCGAAATCCTTTATGAGAGACATAAGAAACCATGCCCGTGCTCTGCAAGACTGCCCAGGTGAAAGGAGGCACTGACTGGCAGGGCCTCCCTGCAGGGGCTCTTGCTGAGCACACCCCTTGGAAACATGAGGGGGGGTGACCTCTGGGGTAGGGACAATGACTCTGTCTGTAGCATCCCTGTGTTCGTGCTGGCACCTCCTCCTTGGCTTCCCCACCTTGACAAGTGGCACTGTGACCTGTACACTGCTCCTCCTTCCATCTTTTCTTAACCAAGCACACAGGGTTTCCTGGTGGAGAAAGGGATGCAGGACCCATGGCTTGGAGGAGAAAAGTGGCATTCGGGGTGAGCATTAGGAATTTCAGTTTGGGGGCTGGTAGAAGAAAAAAGACACAAGAGTGCCAACCTCAAACCAAGAAGCACCGTAAAAATCATCTTTGCATCGAGTGATCCTCTCCCAAAACCACAGTGACACAGCAAACTCTGAAAAGTGCGCTCACAGAAATACACAGCAAGGGTATTTTCATGGTACGTTTTTTTTTTTTTTTTTAGATAATTTTTAAACAGAAAGTTTCCTACTGCGAGTAGGAATTTCTGAGCACCTCTTAGCCCTGCAGGAGGGGTCTGGCACAATGGGAACCTCAAGGGAGTGGTTCTGAGGTTAAATCAAACCAATAGGAAGCTGGAGGAATCACATAAAGAAATGCCAATAACAGAAGTCATGAGCATGGGGGAGGCTGGAGCACACAGCTGATGGGAACCTGGGGACAGCCCCAAACTCGGGTGGCAGCCTCCTGAAGGAACTCTCTCTGCAAGTCCTCTTGAGTTTAAGCAACAAAAAAGATTCTGTTCTCATACAATCAGCTCAGAGGTCCAGCTTTAAAGACCCCCAGGCCCCAGCACTACAGGGATGAGGGAAATGAGCTCCTCTCACTGCTATCTGAAGCCTTGCGATGGAAAGGGACGGGCTCCTTGCCCACCCCGCCCCCTTGCTCAGGAGGGAATCTAGTTCTTGAAATAAATTATCAAGCTCAAAGGACTGTGGCGCTCCAGACTCATTTGATTTTTCCCTGACTCGACTAAATCAAAAAATTTAATTTCATGAACACCTGTAAGCCTGGCAGAACCGCTGAGTTTAATTATCATACCGGATTTCTTTAAAGGCACTGACTTTTCCTTTTGTGTTGGAGGGAAATGGCCCCATCCCTGGCGTGTTATTCATTAAGCCTGGGGAGCAGTCGTGCCACAGGATAGAGCCCAGCCCGGGCTCCACTTACCTAGTGGAGGTCCGTGTGTCATGAGGATGTCGATGCCCTCAGGGACGAGGTTCCACTTGTCCAGCAGGGACTGGCCGCGGGGTAGGTTAAAGCCCCATCCATTAAACCATGGGGTCCTTTGGGGGAGACAAGGCACAGGGTGTCAGGCCAGTGGCTGCATGTACACCCCAACTCTCCCATCTCTCTCTTCTCTCTTTGGGATGGTTGGCCCTGGAAGCAGTGCGCTTTCTGTTGATTGCTTGGAAGCTAATCCATCTGAAAGCAAGTCTGCAGCTACGACTTGCCCCTCTAGAAAGAAGACCTTCCTGATGGGCCTCCATCAAAATCTCCACAATGCTTTGTTTTGCCCCAAACTTCAGTGTTTGCTAAGATACAAAGCCCTGATCTGAAGCCCTTCCAGCCTTCCTGGGGTTTATCTCCTCCTCCCTACCATTCCAAGAGTGCTCCCCTAGAAAAGAAGAGGCTCACAAAAGCCACGGACAAAGCTCAAGGCAGGATCTCTGTTGCTGAGTTCTGAATGCTCTGGACTGAGACTGCTGAAAACAATGTGGGGCCCTGAAAAGGCTATCACGAACAGAATGCAAGGGAAGACCTGACTTCCTTTCACCAAAGGAAAGAGCTGGGCAGGGCCCTGGTCACCTTGGAATCTTCTTTAGACATGAGACATGGCAGAGAATTTCACGGAGTGAAGGCCCCAGAGTGAGTTTTGGAGATGGATGCTGTATATGTGAAGGAATTTGGAGGGGTTGTATGCCTCTTCTAATTGCAGCTGAATGGTCCCACTTTAAGCATTCTAATTTTGGAGACGATTTTGCCCCTAAAAACACCATGTGCTAAATCAGATTAGTTTAAAGCATTTCCTGGTATTATCTTATTACTTAATATCTAGATATAGCCATTACTCTTCGAATTTTGCTTTGTAGGAAAATTCCAATTTCCATGCACATTCTAAAAAGGCACATTGATCCATTCTGTGGTTAAGCCCAACTTCCCTTTCAGTGTCACCTCCCCTTCCACGCCTTCTGAAAGGGCACCTCTGAGATTATCAGTTGGAGCTCACCCAATGAGGGAGCACTCTTGTGTAAAGACAACCATCAGCCCCATCAATGGGGTTCACTCAAGAATTTAAGTTCAGAAACGGTAACAGAGCAGCACTGGTTTGGTGACAGAGCACAGAGGTGGGAGATGGCTGTGGAAAGCCACGGAAAGATCCACATCACAGGTGACAGCCCCATTTCCCTGTGTGGATGGGGGGAGAAGTCCCAGAAGGAAGAGATCATGTAGCGCCAGCCAGAAAAAGAAACAAGAAAGTATATGACTTCCTTCCTTGTCACTCAACCCTTTGCCATCCTCTGGAAGTTTACTGGCATGAGCAGGGATAATGATAAGAATAACAGGACAGCAGAGCGGCCTGGTGAAGGACAGCCGCTCCCATCATGGAGGCCAGGAAGCAGCAAGAGAAGGGTGGAGATCGAGTCTTCCAAGCCACAATCTCAGTGATGGCTTCTTTCAACTGGACCCCACCTCCTAGCAGCACATTTTGCTCCAAATTCATCAGTTTAACCCACCTGTGAGTACAGAGCCCATCACCTCCCCAAAGCTCTACCATATGTGCATGAAGTTTGGTGGGGACATCTACACAGAGACCATAACAGCCACCATGCCATTTCTGTTCTTCTACATTACCCAAATTCATTTACTGCTGGCCCTGAGTGAACCTCTTCTGGACTTTTCCAAGTCTGCCTGTCTTGTGTCTCAAACAATCTTCCAGCTTCATGGTCTCAAGTCTAGCAGTGTCATTGGCTACTGGCTGTGACAAGATCTTTCCTCCTTTGGTGACGGCACCTGAGCTGCCTTTGGTGTCGGCACCTGAACTGCCTTTGGGTGTAAGGCTGCCTTCCCTGTGCCTGGATGAAGCAGGTACTGAATCTCCCTCCCAGTGACCGGTGTAGGGATGGACACACAACCCACACTGGTCCATGAGTTACCCTCAAGACTTCAGTACCACCAGAGAAAACAGTTATGGTTTCCTCACCCCAGGAAATACCCTGGGTCTCAGGAACTATTTGGCTGGGTTTCAAAACTGTTGGGGGCTCCTTAGCCAGCATGCAGACAACCCCTGCTGAGAATCAAGCCACCACAAAGACACTGGGCAAGGAAGAGAAGCTTGGATGACACTGTTGGGTGCTGGACCCAGCCCATAAAGTCCTCTCTTAGTCAGTAGCTTAAGTCCTGTTTCTTGCCCCTAGAAGAGTTCTGCTACTTACACTTACTGTACACAGGTGGTGTACAGTATAAAACTGACCTGTGTGCTCCCAAGGCTCTCAAAGAGGTCCGCCTGGATCCCTAGAACTTGTGCCTATGTTCACTCACATAACAAAGGGAAACGGAAGTCACCTAAGCATGGAGTTCAAGCCCAACAGGAAGAGTATGCAGGATCACTCAGGTGGACCTGATGTACCCACTGCAGGGCCCTCAGATGAAGGTGGAGGAAAGAGGTGAGAGAGGCAGGGTGAGAAGGGTTACTCTGCTGTCATCTTTGAGGACAGGGGTGGGGCCATGAGTCAAGGAGTGCAGGTGACCCCTGGAGGTCACAAGGTGCTCTGCTGAGTGCCTCTGGAGAGGAAGGCAGTCCTGCATCCTCCTGGGCTTCACTCCGGCGAGAGCTATGTCAGACTTCTGACCAGCAGCGCCTCTATTAGACCTGTGTTTGCTGGGTGACACTGCTGAATTTATGTCAACCTTTCAGGCAGGAAGCAGAGCCCAGTCCAGCGCTGCTGCCAGGTTGCAGCAGGGACAGTGAGCGGCACCAGGCTCGGGAGCATGTCCCATGAGCCAGTGTTTGTGGCCACCACTTGGCCCAGCACCACAGACCCTGACAGCTCCTCGGGAAAGTGGGTGCTCTAGAACTCCCCTGAGAGGGTCCCCTGGCACCACAGGCTTGGGAGAAATCAGGGAGAACCTTTCCAGTGAGGTCCACAGTCTTGCTCTCTTGTCTACCCATGCTTCCCACCTCTGGTCCCAGACTTTCTTATCAGAGTCTAAAGCAGAGCTTTACCCGTCCGGGACGCCCATCCATCTTCATTTCATAGTGGCTCCTCCCGAGACCAGCCTTCAAGTAAAAACAACACAAAAACAACCTCAGAGCCCAGCGAAAACTCAGGAAGCATTTTGGCAGGAGAGGGACAGAGACCAAAATAAGCAAAAACATCTGTTTTCCTCAATTCTGGAGACAAGCCTCTGAGCCTGTGTGGAAGGCGAAGCAGGGACTGAGTCCCCCATGTCCGAGCTGTCAGGGTGCTGAGGGACTCTCATTCCACTGACGAGGGGCTGCTCTGTGCCCCAGGACACCGGAGTCTGTCAGAGCCAGGAAACAACACTTGATCTTTTCAGTCTTTGCAATTTTCCCTCATGGAATTTTCTTGTAGAAACCCAGGCTCTATTCCCCCCGGAAATTCTTGGTTTTATAAGTGCTCAGTAAAAGATTAAGACAAACATTGTCTATAGATTTCATTTGGTGAATGTCAAGCTTGTGACAAAATCCAGGAGCTTCCAAGTTAAGGATGAAGTTGTAAAATGTCTTTTATGAGTTGTGTTCCAACTCAGCTGTGCGGTTCTTGGGGGCGGGTGTCGTGAGTTACAGAGCGAGGAATACTGATGGAGTGATGGAGTCCCTGGGACCTGTGTATGCAGCTTTCACACAGATGACTTAATTTAATTCTGCACAGTGGTCCTGATAGACGGTCCTCTATCAGGATAAAAACCCGAAATGGGTGAAACCCAGGATCCTGCCCCTACTTCCAGGATCAGTGAGGAGTCAGGATCTGAATCCAGATCCAAGTCTGCATCCTTGCATCATGCAATGCTCACAAAAGGCTTTGTAAGTGCCAGCTTCTGTGGGTGCCATATGCATGGTGGGGGTGGGGGGAAGTGGGCAGCTCTGCAGGGCCTCTAAGGCTGAGGAGTGTACGTGGCCGGCAGGGACTGAAAGGCCCACAGCAAAAGCAAAGTGTCCTGTGGACTTTCCGGTGCTCTGTGGCCTCCAGGTGAACATTTCCACAGGACAGCAGCCAGACAAGGAGAAGCAGCCAGAATGTGCATCTGGAATTAGCCTCGCCTCGGGACGTGGAGATGATGAGAGACTCAGGAATTAATTCTTGTCCTGGCCTCAATGCACCAGCTCCCTGGGACCTCAGGGTCCCCAGCCAGTTTCCTCTCTGGAGCCTCGAATGAGTGGATGGACTCCCAGGGTCTCGAGGTTGCTTGGGTTGTGGAAATCCTGACAGAAACCCCACATGGGAGACAGACAAGGGCAGGGGTGCTTCAGCTGGGGCCAGAACGGGAACCGAGCTGAGGCGCCCTTCCTTCCTCACTGACCTTGAGCCCTGCAAGCCAAGCCTGATCTTTCCGAAGCTGAAAATCACACTCTTCATCCTTCTATTTCGGGGGCTGCTCGGAGAGAGGCACCCAGGTTGCACAGAGCAGGGCAGGATGTGCTCGGCCTCCATGGAGACTGCTCTGTTCACTTAAGTTTCAACCTGAAACAGGAAACCCTAGCCCAGCACCCACCAGGGGCTCCTGGAAAACACAGCCAACCTCCACAGCCCACAGTGGGTTTTGTTCTGCAGCCACAGGGTGCAGGGGCAGGAGAAGGGGGAGGATCCCAGGGAACAATGGCCATAGCTGGGCCAAAGACTTCATAATTAGCTGTGACTAACAAGCACCACATGGGAACCAACTTGTAAGAAAACCAGCACAAAGCACCTCATTGCCATGGGCCAGTGTGAGCCCCTTCTCCTCCCAGGGAAGGATCAGAAAACCATGCAAGGAAGGGAGGGAGAGCAGCTTCTTGGCCTGCAGTCCCTCTGCCTGTGCAGACCCAGGGCTGCTTCCGAGGCAGCAGCTCTCTTGCTCTTGAACTTCCAGGCTCCTGGCCTCTTGGGCTGGGGCTCAACACGGGGGGCAGGGGATCACACAGGTAAAACTTATTCCACACGGTGTCAACACAGAGCAGGCTTTCCCAGCACAGCCACTGTGAAGCCTTTGTGTGTCTACTGTACACTGTGGTGGTGAAGGCAGGAGCCATGGGGACAGAAACCCTGGGCAGCCAGGGCAG